TCGCAGGACAGCCTATGCAACTAGTAACTCCAGTACTAGACTTGGGCGTTATGCTCGATAGTGCGATAGTGCCCTTACAATTCTAGTACACTATAGCGATGTAATATCTAAAGCAAATAGGCAGCTTATTCTTCAAAATTTCTTCAGAGTTCCGGGATCCACTCTGCCTACGATCCCTGTATTGCTGGCTGGTACGATCCATGTTGGAATCAAGTGTGGTTACCTGGTCTCCGTATCACGCCAATTGGATAGCTAGGATCGAAACAGTGTAGAAAAAAAAATCGTTCGATCCCTTCAACTTACCGCCTTATGAAGAACGTTGCCAACTAAAGTCGCTCGAATGATGGCGCTCCATCGCTCAAGCAGTTTTTGTGGCGAAAATGCTGAAAGGAGAAATTGATGCTCCGAATATCCTCGCACAAATTAATGTCTACGCACCAGAGAGAAGACTTCGCCAGCGGGATTCCCTTCATCTTGATTCGCGAAGTGTGGAATATGGACAACATGACCCCTTTAGAAGAAGACTACTTATAACTACTATTTACAACTACAACTAACCTACGTCTACGTAACACCTAACCTACTATATACAAATTGCTTATCAAAGCATGTTCTGACGTGTTACATTTCTACGCAAGCCTAGTCTTAATGTCATCAATTTAAAAGGTGGAGGCGAACCAGCCCAAGGCTGAAAGCCTCCATAATAAAGATAAATTAATTAATTAATTCATCAATTTAAAAATCTAGTTTTGCAACGTTCGCCTCTAGGTGGAGATCGGAAATTCTTGTATCGAAGAGACGATCAAGGACCATCCTCAGCACTCTATTCTGAGCGACCTGGATTTTGTTCCTAAGAGTCTGTGCACATGATTCCCACACCGGAGCTGCGTAGAGGATCGCTTCGCAGGTGCTATAATTTGGTTGTTTACATCTTGTTTATTCACCCTTGAGAGGCGGGATCTGCGGCAAATCAGTGGACTTACGTCAAGGCCGACTCAGATACCTAACCAAGGCTGACCAATTGACTACGGTTTACTCTGCACGCGAACGGAAAATGCGCTTTTCATCGAACAACATCCCGAGATGGGTTACTTCCTCGGTTACTTCGGCAGACCACTCAACCCTTGTGCCATCCATGATTACAGTACCATAAGGAGCCGGTTTTAGTTTGGGCGATTGCCGATGGAGGAACATAATTGTTTTGTGGACCCTACACGATTGCTTTTATTGACAATAATCGTATTGTCAATACATTCAATATTGACGTCAATACATCGAAATTGACAATATTTCTGTATTCACATCATCAATATTAATGTCAATAATTCCCCTTCGCGTCAATAATTCCCCTTCGCGTCAATATATTGATACGTGTGGGGTTTGCTTTTGAGTTTTAGAGGCATTGATTTTGATTTTCCACGTGGTGGCATAATCAGGAAAGGCGTTAAGGTGATTCCTTGTAGAATCCACAAATGGCCACCACGTACACACCAAATTTTGTTTACATCTTCCAGCAAAATGGTTTGCTGAAAATGATCCAGCAATACGATTTTTGCTGAAACAACAGCAAACAACGTTTTAATTACTGAAAACCCAGTAAATCAGTTTTTTTTTTTGCTGGAAACCAGCAAATCGTAAACTGTCAAAAAGACTTGTGATTTTTCACATTAGTTTGACGACCGCACAGCAAAAAAATAATTTTAATATCACATCAAAGTGGATGCACTTCAATCATAGAGGTAACTCTAAGACTAGTAGGTCCCGAAGAAACGTGCTCAACTTTTTGACCCAGCTCTGGTACTATCTTCGGTCCCAAGCTAATCGATGCACCCCTCGAAACATAGGAAAATCTGTCAAATTTTCATAGAGAATCAAAACAAACATAGTGTAGTACTAGAATTTTAACTAGAATGGGGTACGTTAATCGATTTGCTTGGGACCAATAGGCTAGTCAAGTAGTGAGCCAATTTAAAATCGTTAGTTTCCACCGGTTGCTTCAATCGTGTCGAAAATATGGTGTAATATTACTTGCCAAAAAGGGCAAAATTATCATTAATACAGTGCATGTGCTGACATTACGTTGCTTTTACTGCATTTGTTTATTTGTGTGGCTATAAAAAATACATGAGATTTTCGACGTGATTGAAGTGCATCCTCTTGGATGTAATATTAAAATTTATTTTTTGCTGTGCGCTTACAAACAAAATTCTCCAAAAATGTATTGTATTAAGAATTCCTGGTTTCTGATTGAAGAAGTTCACTATTGTTCGTAACAATAACGATAAGACGGGAATACATTTAAGGAAATATTATTTCTTAGCAGGTTGTGTTTAAGTTATTCCGGTGGAAATGATTCTTTCGGAAAAATTATCATCCGGTGCTAGTGGAGATGATCTTGGATATATTTGAACGTTTAGTGCTTAAGCGTAGATATGAACTGAATAAAATAGTTTTTAAATGAGTTCTCATTCTTTTTGCATTATTTTGTTTAATAAAGTGAGAAAAACGTGCGTTTATAATTGCTGAACGATCAGCAATATTTCCACCATAATATTTCAGAAAAAAATTGCTGGTTTTCCAGCAAACTTCTGTCAAAAAAGATTTGCTGGAAAACCAGCAAAATTTATTTTGCTGGAAGGATTGCTGGCTTTCCAGCTCGGCAAAATTTTGCTGGTTTCCAGCAATAAAAAATCAGTGTGTAGACTATACACAGCAAAAAATTAATTTTGATATCACATCAATGTGGATGCACTTCAATCGTATCAAAAATATGGTGCAATATTACTTGCCAAAAAGAACAAAATTATCATTAATACAGTGCATGAGCTGGCGTTACGCTGCTTTTACTGCATTTGTTTATTTTTGTGGCCATAAAAATTACATGAGATTTTCGACATGAGTGAAGTGCATCCTCTTGGAAGTAATATTAAAATTTATTTATTGCTGTGTACATGCACTTCCACCAACAATCAATACGAAACTAACGATTTTAAATTGGTTCACTACTTGACTAGCCTATTGGTCCCAAGCAAATCGATTAACATTCCCCATTCTAGTATAAATTCCAGTACTACACTATGTTTGTTTTGATTCGCTATGAAAGTTTGACAGACAAAATGAGGGGTTCGTGGATTTTCATATGTTTCGAGGGGTGAATCGATTAGCTTGGGACCGAAGAGAGTACCAGAGCTGAACCAAAAAGTTGAGCACGTTATTTTGGGACCTTCTAGTCTTAGAGTTACCTCTATGCTTCCACTTCGAATTTTCAATCACAAACATCTCGGAAATTAATGTCCCAAATTGCTACTTCATATATGCTGCAGAACAGCAAACGTGGAGTAAAGGCCCAAGCGCAATGACAGCGGAAGTGGAACAGCAACGGCAGCGGAAAAGCCCGATCTGAGTAAGCCAACTTGTCGGGTTGAAAACTTGTTGGAACCAAATCGACTTCGGTTAGGCATCTTGATGTCATTTGTGACAACTGTCAAACTTTCCGTTTCCGTTCCGCTTCCGTACATTGCGTTTGGGCAACAAATTACCCCCTCCCCCCCTATCGTGACGTTTTTCCTATCCCTTATGCATTGCTTGTCACAAAATCTTAGACCCCTCCCTCCCCCCTTAGAGCGTAACATAATATATGCATCAACCCTTAACAGTTTCATTGTGGTTACGTGTCGTGGAAGCTGATATTTGTGCATTTGAAGTTTCGAAGTGGCTACGAGAATAAGGATCTCACAGCGAAACACCTTAAAACATCGTTGAAGTTTGTTCGTTATTTCGCGAGGCATCCTTCCTTTGACTGCTATTGCGGTATATCTGCGAACAGGAAAAACACGCAACCGTCTCCGAGGGGAGGAATGTCGGAAGTGTAAATGCTGTAAAGCAAGGGGCCCAGCAGACTGCCTTGCGGGACTCCTGCTAGGATGGAAAACGTGTCATAAAGACAACCTTTCAACGATACCTTAAACGACTTTCGCTGGAGGTAGTTACGGGTGATTTTAACCAGATGTAATGGGAAGTTGAAGTTACAAAGCTTGTACACAAGTCCGTCATGCCATGCCAGACACTGTCAAACGCCTTTTCAACGTCTAGTATGGCCATGGCTGTGAACTTGGATACAGCTTTGTTACTTCGGATGTTATTCATCACCCGTACTAGCTGGTGATTGGTGGAGTGCCGCTTTCTGAACCCAAACTATTCCGGAAGGAGAATGTTGTTTTCCTCGACAAACTTGAGCAAACGATTGAGAATGAGTTTCCCAAACAAACAGCGCTGAAAGGTGGCAGATTGGCCTGCAGCTTGGTGACAATGTTGGGTCCTTACCGGGTTTGCGGATTGGTACAATTTTTGCTACCTTCCAGATTCTTGGAAAGTAGTGCAGCTCCAAGCATCTGTTGAAGATAGTGGTCAAAAGAGACTGCACTTTTATGCTAAGTCTCTTCAAGATTAAGTTGAATATGCCGTCAAACTCGGGAGCCTGCATGTTCTTTGTGCATTTCAGCGTTGAGCAAATCTGCTGTACTGTAATCATATCCGCCGGAGGCACGACACAAGGGGATGTACGCATTGCGCAACCTGATCTTCGAGCGGACTTTGGATAGTCGAGTCAAGCAAATGCGATGTAGCGACATGCTCGCCGATGGCATTTGCTTTCTCCTGTGGGGTAATTAAGAGCCGATCGTCATCATTTTCGTCTCTGAGAAGTGGAACGGATTTGGGATGAGTTTTCAGGATCTTGACTACCTTCCAGAATGGGCTGGAGCGGCCGTCCGGATTATGGACAACACGCTCGAAACTTTCATTTCTAAGTGAGTCCATTCTTTCAAGATGGCCGATTCTAGAGGCCTACAGACTTCCCTCGAATTGTAGAGAATATCGAATGGGGGAGGATTGATATTACTTTCCAACCAAGGATATGGAATGAACTAGAGTGGTAGAGGAAACATCGGTCGGAGCTCAGGAAAGTGATATCTAACACTACAACGCCAGGAAAATAGGAGTTACCAGTTTTCAACAATAATTGCTTTTAAGCCTATATTTATTTCCTACTCATATAAATATGTTATTTTCTAAATAATTGTTTGACAGAGATTCTTTGAGTTCTAGATTTACTTGTCATCGGCTAATATAAGACGGCTAAGATAATGTTGTCACGCATCACGATTTTCAAATGTTCTCAAAAGAATTTCACTGACTACACTTTAAAAATTATTAATAGCTTGAATAGGCAAATTTTTAAAGAGAGAAATTGAATCAAAAAATATCGACTTAAAAGGTGCAGTTGTAGCAGCCATAAAATTCAGCTTCACATCTCATGTCATACAAATAGATATGTGTGTGTGCAGTATTGTTTCCTAACTTTTTTTTAAAGCTTTCCTTTTCCAACTTTATTTTTTTATCATTTTGATTTCTGTCATAAGGTTTCAAAGTCCATCTTATAAGTATATAGGTGAATGCGTTGCTAGGGAAAATCACTATCAAAAATATGAATCATGCGTTGTCTTAGTCTTGTAATCATCAACCGGATGTCGAATACTGAGTTTGTTTGATTTGCATCAGACGAAGAGGAATGTGTAATTAAAATATTATTTTCTTCAATACAAAACAACACTAAGTCTTCTCCGGAGGAATGGAGTTATCAAAAAACAATAAAAAAAGGTACGATAGAACTATTCCGAAGCTCGATTAAGTCAAGTTGTGATTGTAAATAGTATACTATAAAACGACGTGCACAGTCCGTTTGGTTCGAAGGGGGAAAAATGGGACAGAAAAAACTAGACCCGCCCTTCTGAGGCAAGAGATGGATGGCGCGGAATCGGAATTGGTGATGGAGGGCCGGAAGAATTGCGGCTGTCCATGTGTCCACCTTCGGTTGGTGCTGAGGTGGACATTTCGACGGGTCCTCCCCGACCCAGGGTACGACTGCGTACTAATCGGCCTCGGTCGTTCTCCTGAAAACGCTCCATTATTTTCGCTACTATCATCGATGGTGGGATGTGCGGATTTCCTGTGAAAGGGTAACGAGTCCTAGATTAGCGACTGGGGCAGTGTTTGCGGGCTGTGTAGTTAACGCCGATGATGCCAGACAAACGACAAGGATGCGAACATTCAAATAAAATAAAAAAACTAATGGCAATGGACAATGGTAAAACATTGAGCTGAAAACGTGCATGACAAAAAATACAAGTGACGATGAAGTAGGACAAATGACGGCTTGGGTGATAAAAGGTAAAGAAGTATTGCCATTTCCCCTAGGTGAATATCAAATGCGAAGACAAAGGTTCAATAAGCCGATGGAAATGGTTTCTGCGCTTTTTGGCTATCAGATGCCACTGCTGTTGTTTGCGGTGGTATCTATCGGAAACTACGCATAATCTGTTTTCCGTTATACGTTCACAGAGGTGCCCCGTACTGTCCAAAACATACATGGTACCTCTATAAAAATTGATAGTTTTGTACCTTATTCCAAAATATTAGACCCGTTTTTTTTTGTCATTAAAGAGACAATTTCCATGTTTAAGCGGTTAATTTTTTTTTTTGCAAAAATGCCTTTTTTCAAAAATTTAAAACTTTTGAACTATTGGTCCGATTTTAAAGTTCAAAATATCAAATGAAAAGTAATAGGGCTTAAAAAGCATCTTTTGTGCAGAATATGTAAAAAATAGGGACTTCGGATGTTAATCGAAATACATATATACACTCAAAAAATAAATCACCTTTCCGATGGAAAATATCCATTAGAATTTCACATAACTTTGATGTGATCTCATAATTGAGAATCGCACCACGATATCACATGAACCTTATGTGTCCAATGAAGTTTATGTGATTTATCACATAGAATTCATGTGATCATATGAATGTTATGTGTATTTCAGATAAAAATCATTAATTTTGTTATTGGAAAAATATCAAGTGCGTTCCCAATGGAAACTATATGAAAACTTTTTTCAGTGTAGGGGTACCAGACAACATTTTCTGCGCCACGTACTCTATTCTGAAGTCTGCGAGAGCGAAATCACAAATCGAGGGTCATCAAAATATATGGCATGTTGAGCTCGAGAGCAGCGATGCCAGACAACATTTTCAGAAAAGTCTGGAAGTCTCCTGTGTTAATAACGTATGCCAGATGTTTTCCAGACAAATTATTGGGAGACTTCCAGACTTTTCGAAAAAAGTACTGGCAACCCTGCTCGAGAGAGATAATTTTCTCTCTCAAATTTGATTTTTAGGATCTATGGCGACTGGTAGGAAAGCGGGTAAAAGATGTATGGAAAAAATGAAACTTATTTAGCATTAATTTCCGGGAAAATTTGAACGACACAGTCCATGAATGATTTCATAAGGATGTCGTCAACTTTTTTTGACCTGAATATGCATCAAAAGCGTATTATTTATATTTTTTTCCAAATTTCTATATGGAGCTGTTTTAATTACTTTCCGAGATATGGCGCTTTTTCCTTGGTAGTCATTGTTTGAAATCAGTAGAGGAGAAAAGAGAAGATCAATAAGGTCTAGGAACAGTGGAAATTCACGGCAAAAAAAGCCAAATTTAGCGGTCGAGAAATGTGAAAAGCTTAAAACTTGCGGCCATATTTAAACTTTCAAAAATTATGATAATGATAATTTTTTTCTTCATTTAAACAACAACTTACCAAGAAAGATAACAACATAGTCTTAAATTTGAGAGTTGCTTCGAGTTTTTTGCCTAAATCGCATGATTTTCCAAACTGTCCCAAATTATGATTCCATTACAAAGTTCTAGTTGTGAAAGATTTTTAAACTGCTCGACTATGTCAAGTATTACTTATGTGATCTAATACCAGCAGGGCTGGTAGTGCTTATGCGATATAACAGTAGTGACTTTAGTGACTATAAATACGAAAATAGTGACCAAATAGTGATTTTGAAATAATAAATAAGTAACCAATGTCACTATTTATATGGTGACTCAGAAATTCAAATACGTTATACATGATGACTAGAAAATAGCAATTTGAAAATTTCCGGATTTTCTGGAGGTTTGTAAATTTTACTGGTTGTGAAATATACATTTAAACTAATGTATAAACCAATGAAACCATTAGGTTAAATGGGGCTAAATGGATCATTACTAAAACAGCAGTATTTTTCGTAGATTCTGCTTTCGAAATATTAAAAAATTTGTATATATCTAGGTAAGTTAACTTTGATAATTTGCTATTCCCCTTTTTTTAACTTGTTGAGCAAAAATAATATTGCATTATTGAAATTCTCTGCAGAACAATCTACAAAATTTGAAGTTTTTATGTTTCTTCCAGGAATATCCTGAAGGTTCATTCCAAAATCCATTTTAAATTTACTTGAATTCTCCTTAGAACTCTCATGCAATTAACCTCAGAAATATCTTAAATTTCTTCTCTGAATGCTCTTGGACCCTGCATTTCTTCTTCTCTTTAGGAACATGGGATCCATCTCCGAAATCGCACCATAATTCCATTACAACTATCCGCTGAGTTTGGAAACCTTTTTGAGGCTCTTAAAAAAATATAAGAACTTATTTTAAATATTTATTAGAATTTGGACCAAGAATCCTCATCCAATCGTCATAGAATTCTTTTCAGAACTCTCTTTAAAATGCACCTGGAATTCATCCAAACCTTTTTTCAGCTAAAAGTTTTACGTATTAATCATTTAATATTAAAAGTGATGCTCGTATGTGTCAGACTCTGGATCGATTTGTTCACCTCCGCTTAAGTCTTAAACCAATTTTTTACTGATGGTTAAACCTGGTTTAATGTTTAAGCGGAGATGAACAAATCGGCCCTCAGAGCACGTAAATTTACATTACACTTTCATAGTGTGTAGTTTGATATTCTTCTCTGAAATATTTTGGTGCCATCCCTAGAATTTCTTTGAATTTTTCTTCAAAATTTTTAGATAATTCTTTAAGGACTTCTGAAAATCTAGCACGGAGGATTCCTATGTAATTTTGGAATGAGAAGATCTGAGCAAAATTCAAACATTATTCAAACATGAAGTCTTAAGAAATTGTTGAAGGAATTTGGCTGGATTTTTATGGAGAAGAAGGGATGTTCTAAATTTCTCAGGTAATTCAAGAAGATTTAAAAAGGAGTTGTGAAGAAACCTGCAAGGAAAATTTCTACGTGATTGTGAAGAGAATTGTAAGGAAATTGAGCGGAAAATTACAGATGAATTTGAAGGAGACTTCCACGAGAATTATTATGAGACTTTAGCAATAAACATAATTTAAAGAGCGTTATGGGTATAATTTCAAAGGAATAGTACAGAAGATTCCTAAGAGAATTCCAATAGAATTGATTCCAAAAATTAGCTGTTAATTCGAAGGGAACTCCTAAAAATGCTTAAAGGATTTCTGCTAAGAGTTCTAACTAAAATAAAAAGAAAATTTCAATCAAATTCTTATTTTTTTCCTTTGGTTTGTTTTTTTCGTCGATCTTGTTTTCCGTGCTGAGCACCAATGCTACCGACATGCCAGGAAGGCAGCTCCCACACCTGGACCCTACCTATCGACCCATCAACTCATGAACCGGGGACCAACGGCTTTACTTCCCATCCGAAGGAAGGCGTGATCAGAGATGTTATGCCTCAGAACATCCCGGCGGCGCCGACTGGGATTGAACCCAGGCCTGCTGGGGTGAGAGGTAATCACGCTTAACACTACACAACCGGCGTCGTTGAATCATATTCTTAGGAAACTATCAAATAAAATTCAAAGTAAATATTAAGTTTCAGGGTCTTTGGAGAGTTTTTTGCTTAGTTTACGAAAAATTCCATTATTATTCAGAACATACGGTCAAGTTAATTCTGGAATGTATATCATGGGAATTGTGAATAAAGTTGCATGGTTATTTTGATGTCGAATTGAAAACAAAAAAAAAATCCCCAAAAAGGTTGAGTTCAGTTTCGGTTTTTACAAATATTTTTCTTTCATAGTTCAGCACCTTCAATATGTTCTTTTAAAGTTCATGCACTTTACATCGGAAATTGGAATAGGACGAAAATTCAGTTTGAAATATTGCTGAGTGATTAAATCCTTTAAAAAAATAAGGCGAGATTCTGGTGGAAATTATGCAACAATAAGGGTAAATCATTCTTTTGGTAAAGACTCCTTCTATTTTATTCGTTTATTCTGAAATTCTGACGTGACAATTTGTTCGTACGGCAAGGTATATTTAGTTTTCCTGGTTCTTTCATCGAATGCCCGAGTATTCCCCGGTTTTCCCGGTTACTTTTCAAATTTTCGGTTATTTCCAAGGTTTCCCGAGTCGCTGGCCACCCTGATCAAGCGATCGATAGCGGCTATTGTTTGGTGTGCTTTGTTCATCATCTGAAGTTTGCTCGGTCGATCATGTTATTGTCGATCTTGGAAGCAAACATTTCGCGATAGTAAAGAGCACGAATTGCGTCTATTTCGCCAGTGGAAGCGCTACCCGAGCAAAATTTTACACTGTTGAATCAAACGGAATTGGTGAGCATCTATGCTTCTCACGTTGAAAGACTTCAGTTCAAATCTCACCCCGGGCAAGTCACGAATGACATAAAATGTGTTAAACAAAACAAATAAACAATAATCGTTAGTACAACGACAGACGAACTTAAATTAAATTGTAAACAAGACGTTAACAGCAGAACTGCAAGTTAAGTTGCTCTCATTTAAAAAGTCTTGACTGCATAATGACAGCACAATATGATATCAGACTAATGTCGCGACAATTGAAATCAAAATGAGTTTTCATTATGATAGGAGATTGCCATATTTGTGAAACCACTGGAAGTGAACCCCGTTCTAATGGAAGAAATAAGATATTTGATAGCGGAGGATAAGGTGGTTTTCGTGTTGAACTTTTTTACTATAGTTTTAAGATTTATAGTATTTAGGGATTTGTATAGTGAAAAAGAAAACTCAACTCTGTAAAGTTCATTCAGTTGAGCCAGATTAAATAAAGTAATTAAAGAAACAGTTACGCTAATAGTTTGATACAACTTTCGTTTAGAGTTTGTAACCTGTGCACCAGTACCACCAGGTGACCAATGTTGCCTGATGAATTCGTCATGAAAATCGACAAATTTTGAGGTGTCGCACGACTTGGTCCTATGAAAATTATAAATGCTTTCCAGGGTTCCCGGAACCTGTTCCTAAGCCACCGGATGGCTCATATTGTCCTAGACATGTTGACATGGCCTATGATGAACTCTTCATGAAATTCTGCAAAATTTGAGGTACCACACGACTTGGTTTTATAGATGTGATAAATTGTCCACATTTGGTGCCTTCGGAACCTGTTCTAGAGTCATAGGCTAGCTTTATTCCCCTGAAAAGTACACATGAGCAGTGGGGTACATTATGATTGCAAGTTAAAACATATACAGGCATGACCAAATTTTGAGATGTCGCACGAATTGCTTCTATGAAAATTATAAGTTGGCCAAATTTCCGAAGTTCCCGGAATCTGTTTCGAGACCACCGGATGGCTAATATTGTTTTGGACATGTTGACATGGCTTCTGATAAATTCTTCATTAAATTCTGAAAATTTTGAGGTGTGTATGAAAATATAAATTGGCTACCTTTGCAGGGTTTTCGGAACCTGTTCTAAAACCATCGGGTGGCCAATGTTACTTCGGACATATTGGCATAACCTCTGGTGACTTTTTCATGAAATTCTGCGAATTTTGAGCTGTCGCACGAATTGATTCAATAAAAATTATAAAATGACCACCTTTCTGGGGTTCCCGGAACCTGTTCCAAGACTAACTGATGGCCATTGTTGCCCGGACATGTTGACATGGCCTCTGATGAACTATACTTGAAATTCTACGAATTTTGAGGTGCCGCACGACTTGAATGAAAATGATAAACTGCACACTGATCAACATCTACGGTGCCTCCGGGACCACCGGATAGTCTATTTTTCCCTGGACAGTACACATGGGGGTGTGGTGTACATTCTGATTGTAAGTTACTCAGCTCCGTACAAAAATAGCCAAGCATTGATCATTTCGACATCGATTCTGAGTGGTCAATTCCAGCCAATCCTAGATGTGTGGCCAGTTTCTCTAAATTTAAGCCCTAACGATTAGTTTAGGTGCAATGAATTTGAAATGTGGTAATAAAATGCCTCCGAAATCCTTACACCTTAAACGTTACTTTTTTTTTTGAACACCGCGTTCTTTGATTTATTCTGGATTATTCTTAAAAAAAAAGCATTAAAACATTGGGTATTTTTTGTTTGATCTAACAGAAAATAGCTCCCTTATCAAAAATAATATTCGCATATCAATGCTTAATTCTATCAAAACATCAACGTAATTTTAAGATCAAGAATGGTTATTTGAGCAACCATTCTTTCAGTGGGTAAGGTGGGGCAAGATGGGTCGGCTAGTACATTTATTAATTTAATTGTTTGTCAAAATCAACAGGTTCAATGCAACCCCAATAATGGTTTGCTTAACCAAACCAGCATTTGGGCTACATTGAGCCTATAAAAAAAAATCAAGTTGATGACTCATCTTGCCCCACCTAACCCTACATATAAACACCTTCCTACCCATAAACGCATGACAGTCCCGTTAGAATAGCCCAATCAAGCAGAGATGTGACCGTAATGCTTTCATGGGCAGCTTATAGGCAAACATAGTTAGAACAAACGAGCTGCAAACATCAACTAGAAAACAGAAATAAAGCAAACATGCAAAATTGCGCCTAAATAAATAAGTATAGCATGCAAAATAAAAACTGCAAACTTTACCAACAAAGCAATGAAGTACATATACCAGAAACATCAGAAAGTAGTACACCTCATAAAATATTGGCATGCATCCAGTGTAAACATTTCGACGCGATCCTTTACCATGATAACTAGAAGAGTGAGAACGTGGGTGTGAGAGTGTCTGTGTGTGTAGATTTTAAGTGGAGTTGTGATTTTGGTATTATTAGCAACATCCTCGATGGTCCTACATTCTAGCTTTACATCGGTCGCTGTTGAAAGCGCTGAAGAATGTGCAACTTTTCGTAATCAGCTGGAATTGTTGATGGTCAGTTAAGTGAAATGAACGGAACCCGAAAGTATATAAATGCGATTCAAAATGGATGAAAAGAGAAAAGAAACAACACTGGTTAGATTTACCTTTGGATATGGATGTGGTGCTTGTGATGTTGTGAACCTTTAACCCTTAGTCCGAATTATAGTTACACCATTGAGGTGATTGATCCACGCGGATTGGAAAAAAAGATTACTCACCGACTAATCCACGGTATCCGAGGACGCTATTCTCATGAATGTGCATTGACAGTTGCTGTTGACGGAGGAAAGCTTCCGTGTCCACCCCGCGCACCTGGGATGGTTTGAGGAATCTGTAAGAAGGCAACACATTAGGCATTGAATCGTGCGGGAACGCAAGCGGCAGCTACCTTTTCGGAATTTTCGACAGAACATCCGTACTATGCGGTGCCGGGCCAAAACCAAGATTCAGTAGTATCCGTTCCGGGTCCGGTTTGCGAGCATTCAGTAGACTTTCTACGCTAGAGCATCGACTAGAATCGGATTGCAATGAGCTTTCCTTCATTAGCATTGCGCTCCGGCGTCGAGGAGATTCGGAGAGGGAAATTTCCTGCTGAATGCTCATTTTGCTGGACGTCCTAGGGATGGGACTAACGGGCACGGATCGGGCCAGAATGTTACTGCTGCTATTGTTGATACTGGAGCTGGTGTTCAATGATGACGGATTTGGGCAACTATTGTTGCACTCACTAATAACGAAGTTGTCGTCATCGTTCATTTCGCTAAAACTTCGACCGATATCCAGCAAATTGTAGCGCTTGATGTTGGCGCTTGGATTCTCACTAGAGCTCCGCCCGATTTTACCTATACCCATTCGATGGAAGGCTGTCGGTGGGTTCAAATAAGTATCATATACCTGAGTCGGCATTTCCAGATTTTCCTTTTCTTCGTCCTCACTGGCATCCGGTAGGTCTTCGTCCTTGGGAAATGATTCATCAAAAGAGAACTCGTAGATGTCAGCGGTGCTGAGCTTTCCACTTGCCTGCAAACGACTATTCTATAGAACTAATTTACGAATAAGACCGAACACTTACCTCAGATTGCTGTTGCTTCAATTCGCTTCTGCCCTCCACCACGACGGAATCGACTCCGCCTTCTTCCTCTTCCTTCACAATGATCGATTCTTCCGACTTGGATTCTGCTGCCTGATGAACTTTCTGTACGAGATTATCCTTGCTCGCACCGAGCATGTTACGTATGTCGATCTTCTTAGCTTTAATCAGGTTGTACTTTGCCTTGTTCATGCTCAGCCTGTCATAGAACTCGTTGATCTTGATCTTTCCGATCGATGCCAGCGAAGTGCCCTTGCGAGATTCGTCCTCCGTTGGTAGATCCACCGACTCCTGTTCCACCGCCATGTGAGCTTCCTTCTCCTGTAAATTCGTGTTACTGCGGCTGAACTTTTCCAGTAACGACTTTTTCGAGAGCAAGCTCTTTATGGACATGGCAGAGCCAGCGTCGCTTCGATGCTCGACTTGTGGACTTGCGGAGGGTAAAAACTCCTCGTCGGAGGTAGAAACGGGAGCATCGATTCTAAGTACATCTTCATTGCTTTCTCGGTCCAACTCGGAACCCGAATCACCGGACTCGGTCAGTCCGGTCGATTCAACCACATAAGTGTGACTGCCATGTTGTCCTGCTAACTCCGCAGAGGATGGTCCTGGTTCGGCACTGGGTCCGGCACCGGCCGGGCCAGGGATCTGTATCGAGTCGACCCATTTCTGGACCGATGCCGGACTCTTTTTACGCATCTCATCGACGATATCGTTGAGCCAGTACCGGACACGGGATCGAACTGTAAATCACAACAAAGTACATATTTAGACCCAGAAATCAAGGAACAATGATGTATAAACTAGATTGAGAGGGTAACCAGAGAAAGTCGTACTCAGATCCGGGTGGACGACCATTTTACGCCGTTGGCGTTTCTTTTCCAGAGATTTGAAGTATTTGATGAGGTTTTCCACCTCGATCCTTTCGACCACTATATGCTCGATGAGCATGGTTCTTCGGTAGGAGTAGAACACTTAGAAGCGAACGAATACAAAAAATAAACAAATCAGCGGTGCTTCAAACTGTAATTCGTGTCGATCAAGGGAACTGAACAGATCAAAATCTAGATTGAAACTGATGCATCAGTAGACGGAGTGGAAGGAACCAAGAGGAGATAGGTTCATTGCATTCATTCACAGAGTGACTATACAAATAAATATTTTTTTTTTCATTCCTAGTAGGTAGTGCTGCTATATAGACATGTGATTAACTGATAAGAGGGGAGTGTGAAAACAATGATAAACAAAATATTTGTTCAGGACTTATTTTTGACGGAAAAGATGCAGTGCAGACTTTCCGGTTTGAACGCGAACTATTCAGCAACCATGTAATTCATTTCGAAGCACGATAATTAAATATTGAAAGCGTACTATGGAACATCTTAAGCTACAATTTACTTTGTTACATTCAAACCCAGTTTTTTTAGATTGCAAAAAGGTCGTGTCATTGTGAAATGATTTGAATTTCCGGACATAGCACCAAAGTGAATTGCAGCATAACGATCATACTTATCGCCAGAAAACATCATACTTATCGTTATGGTATGGTAATTTTGTATTAGAGTAGCTATGAAAGTAGCTGCCATCGATCTGGAGCTTTTCCAAACTAGATGATATACTTCAAGGGCCCTGCTCATCGCGGACATATGACAGGGCAGAATTGATTGCACCGCAAACTTGGAGCAAGTTAACATCAACGACCAACTCCAAGCGCTGCGTAACAACGTTATGTTGAGATTGCCACTTCGTCGCACAAACTACGAAATAAAAGGTGCTATAGGTGGGCTGCAGCGATTGTGCAATAGAGTCTATTTGATATTTGATTTCATACTGCCACGACATGCTGTCTGGCCACCGACAAACCGACATGACTTATGTCTTAAAATCGTAAACGGTCGTTCTAAATGTACTGTCAAAACCATAGGATTTTTCTATCTAGATAAAAATAATTTGTTCAGAATAGATCAGACACGAACCAATTCATAACTTTGCATGCAGGTTCATGGCTTAACTAAATAGTTCCCGCGAACACGGAGCCAGATGTCAGTAGTGTGCTTTGTTTAGAAATTTTATTGTTTTTGTTATGTGCATTTATGTCGGTTTGTTTCGTGGTCTGGCTATGTGAACCGTGAATTATTGTGTATCAGTTAAGTTTTTTTTATTTGTGGCCTTCATTTTTAATTTTAAGTTATCTATAATTGGGGCTACAAGTACCCTTGGAACTCTTCTTTGAATTCTCTAAAAATGATAACAGGAATAGCCTTGAAACTCTCCTAAGTATTCGATTTGATTTTTTTTTATTTTGCGAGACAGAAGGGGGTCTTATGAAGGCAAGATCTCAAATCTAAAGGCCACATTTCAGAAGGTGAGTGAAACATGGTTATCACGTCAAACTATAATGTCTAAAATGAACCACATGCCCCAACAAACCCGTAGAACGGCTCCCATACGCTCTCCATGCTGAATCGTGAGTCCCACCTTTTTCCATATCATTGCTCCTTGATACTCTCCTTAGTATTCGTTTGAAATTTATTCAAAACTTCATTTGAAATTTCATTAGAATTCCTTTAGAATTAAACTCAAAATGTTCATAGAATGCGTTACAGAATTAACTTTGAATTATCCTTATTTTCTTGGCATTCTACACACAAGTAAAATGGAGTTCTCTTTACAAATTTCTTGGAGTTCTTTTTGGAGATTTCCTTTGAACCCTACTAAGAATTCCCTTGGGATTCTACTCAGAACTACACTGGAACTCTCCTGATGGTTCACCTGAAATTTGGAGTTCAACAGAACTAATTTGAAAGGAATTTCACTTCATGCTTTCCTAAAAATTCTTCCCTTGGAATTATCCTCTGAATTCCTTTGAAGTAATCCCTAGAGTTCTTTGGAAATTCACATAAAATTCATTCATTTTAGTTCATAAGCTGTACAAGTTTAGCAATACTTGTTTTCGTCCAGGGTTTCAAAAAATTGGCCAAGTTTAAATTTTGTAGAAATTAACAATTCAAGTATCACAATTGATGTGCCTGTGCTGTTACTGTTAATAAATCCATAACAATATAAAATGTTTTGAAAATCTTGAGAAGGTTTATTGTTTATTTGGTTCTATATCAACAGACTGGGTTTAGTCCTAATGATGGATTAAGCACAGACAAACAGACATAACACATTGAATATTTCTCACTGTAAAACATCGTCGCTAAAACATTACCGCCATCTGTTGAGTACACTGTGGTGGGTAGTACGCTGAACAGATGGCGGTAGTGTGCAAACGTCAAACGCAAGGGAATTGACTATGCGCGCCACAGGTGGTGGTACTACCAACTACGATACTTTTATATTGTTCGTTAAATGCTTGTTCGATGAACTACTTGCGATTGTTATGTCTGTTTGTCTGTGGATTAAGCAATACTAGGAAATACAATATAGTCGAGAAGTAACAACAAGCAATAATAACAAGGCCGTGAAGTCCAACTTAAGTCTGCTTGATGATTTTAATCAGCCTGGGCTTAGCTGGTCACCCTCAGGCCAGGGTTATGCGTTTCCAGATCCGATTGCATCTTCAACTATTCCTGCCAGCCGCTTGCTTGTTGATGGCACGGCTTTTCGTGGACTGAGCCAGATAAATTTCCGGTCTCGTTTTCTTGACTTGGTTTTTGTTAGCGAAAGTGCACTTCTTCCCACCCTGCTTTGGATATATCTATCGCGAACGGATCTTAAATTCGTTTTGATGAAACCATGACTGCCACTCGGCTCAATTTCCGGAAGACCGATTTCCGTTTGCTGAGGCGTTCCTTGTCCCGGATCAACTTGAACGTGTTGAATGACCTTGATATCGATACAGCAGCCGCTCGCTATAATAGCCATTTGCGCGACTGTGTTTGTGCTTCAGTGCCGAAGTGCCTACCTCCAAGAAAACCGCCTTGGTCTAACGCTACTCTCCACAACCTGAAACGAGTGCGATCTAGAGCTCTCCGTGCTCTCACTAATCGACGATGTACCCTTACCAAGCGAAATTTGTCAATTGCCAGCAATGATTATCGCCACTACAACAAGCTTTTTTACAAGAGGTAGGGGAAAAGTTGGCTTCGGCAATACCTTAACCTATTATCGTCAGGAGGGTAAACAAAGTCCTAGAGCACTCAAATTTGGCCAATAGTTGCTCTGAAACACAATGTATCCACATGCCAAAATTGAGCTCTCAAGGACGTTTTTACCCCCTGACGTTAAACTTTTCCCCTAGGGGAAATGACGGCTTCGGCATGACAGACTGTTTTCGGCAACACAAATTGAAACACTATTTTCACTGGATTTTCTTACGAAAACACTTCGCTGAATGCATGCAAACGATTCTTTATGCTTTCAGCTTCAATTTGACTATATTTTTACCACTGAGAAAAAGCAATCTAGCAAGGTTTTCTTGAAATGCAACACACGCACTACAAATTGTAGCTGATTTCGAGTTGCCGATAATAGAACAGCAGATTTACATGCAGTTCAAATGGAACGGTTGCCGAAGAAAAACTGATTGCCGACAATACTCGCTCTCACTAGAGCTTTGTAAAAGCGTTTCAAAACAGTTTTTGACAATTCTTTCGACTGAAATTGTTAGAGCAGCTGGCAGCAAAAGATTGTAAACAAACCAATACTGCATATGTGTGCGTTCCTTAGAGAAAAAGGCTATCGAAAGAAGGTCGCTGCTTAGGTTGCCGAGAATACGTAAATTCCCCTATGTAATTCGTAATCAAAATAATCTGCAATGCCACCCCAAGGGATTCTGGGTAAACTGGGCTGCCGTCAAAAATGTTTCTGGAAATGACGTACTATTGCCAACTGAGGACAAATGCAGCCTATTTGCTAGGCACTTCTTAAACGTCTTCTCGAATGACTCCCCATCGCAAGCAGAAATTTAGCGAGCCGTCCGTGATGTGCCAATCGACGTCGTAAACATGGATGTTTTTGCCGTAGATGTACAAATGGTTCTCTCTGTGATGAGTAAAACCTAATCATCATTTTCACCAGGTCCGAGTGTTATTACATCTGCTGCCCTAAAAAAATGCTCCGATATCTTAGCTGCTCCGTTGTCCTTGCTCTTCAACCTGTCACTTCGTCAACAGAAATTTCCCGCACTATGGAAACGCTCTACACGGTAAGAAAAAAGTACCCAACGGCCAGTTCACTTTTACCTACTTTTGACTAGTTTGTCTCCTTTTCAGTGCTAACATTTGAAAACGGCACAAAAGCCATTTGTAAACAAATGGTTTGTGGGCCCTTTACTCGCTACCCGAAGAACGCCCACGCAAACCAACAGCATCGTCAGGAAGGGGAAAATTTCCCCTACCCGATGTTGCTGTTGTGTCGCGTGGGTGTACTTCAAGTAGTGAGTAAAGGGCCCACAAACCATTTGTTTACAAATGGCTTTTGTACCGTTTTCAAATGTTAGCACTGTTTTCTCCTTCTAATGTTGTCAAAAACGGAGGAGCAAAACCACTCAACAGGGGTAGTAAAGTGTGGGAACCCAACGTTGAGTATAATCATATTTACCTACTGTTGGGTACAAATAACATACTTTTGGTTAAAAAGCCAGTGGAAAATTCCTTTTGAACTGCACACAAGTAAATGAAAATTACTTTGACCCGCTTTACCTACTTTTGGGTTCCTGCACTATAGTGCCGAGATGAGTGAAAAGAACTTAATTTTGGGTACTTTTTTCTAACCGTGTACTATGTTCCCTGTTTTC